CCCCCCCCCCCTTCCAGCCTCTCAAAAGTCTCTAAGGATACCGACACCATTTAAGGGTTAAGCCTGGCTAAATAATGAGAAATAAAACTGGTCTACAGGCTGCTCGGGATAATACCTTTAGCGTGATGTGTGAGAGAGGCATTTATGCTAAGTTGATCAGTTTATGTCTATTTATGCCTGGCATGCAATGCAGTTGGATTCACTGTACTGTACTGAACCTGTAGCTGTGTGATAACAAGGGCTGAATTAGGTCTTTCATGCAATGCTAGATGAAAATGAACAGTGTGAATATGTACGGTAATGTTTCCTCTAAGGCAATGGTTCCAAACCAGGGAGAATCTGCACACTTTCAAGCTGCAAGATGAGTTTTATTTAAAATATTTAAAATAAGTTATATTAAAATTATCCAACTTTACTAAAAAGCTAAAAAAAAAAAAATCAAGATCTAAGATATGTAAATTGAAATCATATTTTCACTTTGGTCGAAATGCACAGCTGAGCTCTCACTCTTGACTTTTTTTTTAATGCAGAGGTCTGTACGAGTTTCATTCAGAAGTCATTTTTGCATTCCTTTTAAAGGGAAACAAATGTCAAATCATGATCAGATGCAACTTCTCAGAGAGTGTTTTAGCATAGTTATAGTGTGATGTGCTTTAGCATGCTAGCATTTTAGCATGGTAAAACCCTCTTTGATATATTTTTTTTTTATACAGAATCCATTTGACGTGTTATGGATATTATGTTCAGTATAGTCTGTCTGATTCTTCATGGTGTGGAACCCACTTCCGGGTGTCTGTCAGAATCTACTGCAGATGAACGCTTTAATAAATAGTTGCAGTCAAAAAAAAAAAAGACTGGTGCAGTTAACTAGGTGTTGTGCAGAGACAATATTTCTGATTTAACAATTATGAATTTTTGAATGCTGAGCAAGGGAAATTCCATGAGTCCAAGTGCTGAGATTACATTGAAGCATATCATTCTGCAGCCAGGATGCACATAAGTGGTTTTGTGCCGCTGTGTATTGAACCTTCCTCATGAGGACTTAGGTGGCTTTGTTCAATACAAGGTTATAGTTATTTGTTGAATGGCCTTATTGAAGGGCTGCACTTACAGTACATTAGCGTCTGAAACATGTCTGATTGGGGGCTGGTGGGCATGCAGACATATTATACAGGGCTTCCTGAACACAAACACAGTACTTGTTTAGACAACTGGCTGACTTATCAATTATGAAAATATGGAGTTTTGCAAATCCCTAGTTTAATTCCAAAGCTGCCCACTCCTGCAGAGTGGTACACACTGTCCCCTACAATGAATTTCTTCCTGCTTACTTCAAGTCCCATTACTGGCATCTTGCATTTTATGTTTTTATTTATTGTTTTGCCACTGAGCATAACCAAATTAATTTGTCAAGTGTAAATAAAGCTGTTTATTCTTTTCTGCACATTTAATATCAAAAAGATCAGTTGCATATCGGTAACACTTTACAGTAAAGTCTCATTTGTTAACATGAACTGTGAGCAATATATTTTTACAGCATTTATTAACATTCGTGAATATTAGATAATAAAAAATACAGTTGTTCATTGATTGTTCATGTTAGCTCACAGTGCATTAACTAATGTTAACAAATGCAACTTTTGATTTTAAAAATAAGTTAGTAAATGTAGAAATTAACATTAAGATTAATAAATGCTGTAGAAAACTGTTCATTGCTAGTTCATGTTAACAAACCTTATTGTAATGTGTTACCCATATATTATTTGTTTTAGCCTACTTTTACCCATTTGAAGAGTATTTCGGTACCAGTATTGATTAATATATGAACGAAAATGTTTTTAAAACATATTCGTATTAGCGGATATTAGATATTTAATTATGCATGCTCGTTTCCCTTATTTTTGCATTTGGATTACCTTTGCCATCATCTAACCCTCAATTAAAGTTCATTTTTAATAACAGTTTTAAATAGTGCATTTTCATGTAAATCTTTAGCAGATCTCAAAATGAATATCTGTTTTCCATACTGTACAATATATTGTTGTGATGCATAAATTCATGTACAACATTTAAAATGAATGATTTTGGTATTTTGTATTTAGTATTTACAGTTTTTTGTTTTTGTTTTAATTAAGACAAAATTGTATCAAATTTTAATATCAGACATTTATCAGTTACCACACTGTAAAAAATGCTGGGTTAAATACAACCTAGTGCTGGGTAAAATAGGGACAAACCCAGCAATTGGGTTGTTTTGACCCAGCGGTTGGGTTACTACCCAGAAGGTTGGGTTAAACATTTAACCCAACCGCTGGGTCAAAACAGCCCAATTGCTTGGTTTGTCCCTGTTTTACCCAGCGCTTGGTTGTATTTAACCAAGTATTTTTTTAGAGTGCACCAGCCTTAACATAATTATTGCCCAGAATTTTAACACTGATGCATTCCCACGTAAGATCCATAAGTATTTTATTTTATTTTACTTTTTTAATGTATGGCTGCATTTCATGTTAAAATGAAATGCCAAATGTTATTAATAAATATGTCATCAAAGAGCGGGCTTTGAATATTGTCTTTGACAACGTGAGGCCTTTGCTCTAATATATCTGTTGCGTTTGAAAAGCAAGAGGGATATCGCTGGCTGTGCGGGAGTTGCGTGATCCTCTAAGAGAGACTGATGCTCCTCACCGTCTCCTGCATGTGAAGGGTGCAGAGAACTGCATATGGACCGTGAGCCAGGCAACAGCTTGGTCTTGCCTGGTTGAGTGGTCCCTGGCTGTTGCATTGTTTTAGAAAAACACCCCATCCATTTCCGCTTTGGCCCATACACCAATGTGTTCATGCAGCACCTCACTGAAAATATGGTATATCAGGTTTAGTCAGTGAGATAAAGCATGTTTTAATTCTTGCAAACACTGTCAGATCACATTCACTGGCTTGGAAAGCCCTGGTGAGCAATACCGCCTGACAAATGCGTTTTAGCCTCTTGTCTGTGCTTCGACAGGCTTTCCTGTCTGTCGTCCTCCAGCACAGCTGCCTTATCTGTTATCAGCTCTCGGCCCCAGAAACGTGATCATTCAGGAAAGCCAAATCTAGTTGGGCTTCCATTGTTCATGTGATGGCATAATGCTGGAAGTCTGCATTTTGAGGCACAGATGCTGCAATCAACAGGGTGCCTCTGGTTCCTACCCATCTTCATGTGTCAATATTTGTAGTGGTCCATTTTGTGTGCAGGACCCTCAATTTGTTGAAAATGACTCTAATTGCATGAGTGTTACCAAATTAATTGTTGTTTAAAAAGAAATATCATACATATAGCAGGCAAACTTATTTAAAGGGATAGTGCAAGCAAAGACGAAAATTCTGTCATTGTTTGCTAACCCTAATGTCATTCCAAATCTGTATG